GATTTTGGTCCTCAACGTCTCATACAAGTTGTTCGCCAAAATTTTGGCTAGGCGTGTGGGTAATTACCTTTCATCCCTGATTACTAACGATCAAGCGGCCTTTGTACAAGGTAAATCGATCTTCAATAACATTGTTACTACCATTGAGGCCCTGGAGGTGGTGGAGAATGCACAGACAAACATCTTTGTTCTGATGCTTGATCTTGAGAAAATATACGATAGGGTTAACTGGACGTATGTACTAACAACTTTGAGACACGTGGGATTTGGCGATAACCTGTGTAATTGGGTAGTGACATTGTACTCCCTGTTGACAACCTCGATGAAATAGTAATCTTTCAATAGCCCTTCCCTCTGACCCGCTCTCTTCGACAAGGATGCCCTTTGACACCCCTTCTTTTTGTAATCCAAATAGAGAACCTTTTGTGTAATATCTGATTCAACCTCTCGATCTCTGACATTAAGGTCGATCCCTCTCAGTGTAAGGTGAAAACCCTAGCATATGATTTATGTGCAATTTTTGAAAACTCACTGAGGTCAATGAATACCTTGAAAACCTGTCTGGATGAGTACTTAGAGTTATCGGAAGCCTCTGTAAATTGGGCAAAATCAGTGTTTTTTATCCTCAATATTCACAAACTTATTGTAAATTGGGAAATGAAATGTATTGTTGCAAAAAATTCTGAACATTTTTTAGGCGTTCAAGTTTTTATTCTTTCGTGTAGCGTTGACAAGGGTATTTGCCGGGGATTTTTAACGTCGGACGTGGTCCGACCTTTTCGTTTAATTGAAGGACATGATGAGATTGACGTTTGTCAAAAGTTATTCAGACCTGACCTATGAATGACATACTAAAAGTTTTCGAAGTTGAGTCCAAACGTGTGTGGCGTCCGATAGTGATGGCAGTAAGCGGTCGTGCCTCGCCTTTGGCGAAGCCGCAGGAATGTGTGCGCATGGGAACGGTAAAGCTAGTCTTACTCTACCTAAAATAATGACGCGTGGCTGTTAAGCCGCGCGATTTAGGGTCTAAGTAGGCTAAAAAGAAGGACGCGGCGAGGGTAGGACCACGACGCGGAAGGAATAAAATGTTTTTTTAAATTATTTGAGCCGCGAGGTTTGACTTTGAGCTAAGAGGCCGACAGGTCAATGTCGGGGCTATACCCATGACTTAAAGGTTGGCTTTGGGGCCGCCCAGCTGAGACGCCTACCGGGTGGACGACAGAGCGACAGGTTAGAGGGACTAGAACTAATGTTGGGTTTCACGCTTGGTTGAGACTGTCCTAGTTGACCGGCGTCTGCTCCGCACCTAGGAGATCAACGCCCTAGGAACGGACGACGCTCGGGTCCACTTGGCGTTAACCAAGTGTATCTATACTACAACGAACGAGCAAACGCCCTCGATTGACCTACCTCGGCAATTGCATTTAAAAGCTTTCACACGTGGGTCAGTAGCTCGGTAGGGATACGCCCCTCGTGTTCACTTGGCATTAACCAAGTGTATCTGTACTACAACGAACGAGCAAACCCCCTCGACTAACCTACCTCGGTAATTGCATTTAAAAGCTTTCGCACGTGGGTCAGTAGCTCGGTAGGGATACGCCCCTACGGGTGGTGACAACCCCTTAGGGAAGGAAAGCTTATACCCCTCGGAAACCTATCCTGTCGTAGGGGACCGAGGGATGTACAGTTGGTGCACCCGGCTAGAGCGGCGAAGGGACGATGCGACCCCGGTCGTCTTGGCGGTTCGCGCGGTTATTATGCGTCCTCGCATGGTTATTATGCGTCGTTCCTAAGTTGTCTCTTAGTTTTGTTATGTTTAAACTTCTGCGTGACATGGCTGGGAGGACTCTTGCCTTTGCGAAAAACGCGAGAGCCGATGCGCTCGACAGCGTAAACCAGAAGGGTATTTTCCTCCAACGCTCCTTGTAGCGAGTAGCGATGTGGGGTAAAGCTACACACCTATCCCTCTACGGAAGGGTACTGGTTATCAATAGTGCCCTATTCTCCCTCCTTTGGTTTGTGATAGTTGTTAGGCCTTTGGACAAGCATTTATGCTTCCTAATAAGGAGGAGGGCAACCCGTTTCATTTGCCTTATGCAACCAATGATGAAGGCTTCATGTCGATCTGCTTTGCTTCTCAAAAGTAGAAGGAGGCTTGAGATTGATTCACCCTCGAAGAAAGAGTATTGCTATGCTGGTCCGATGGGTTATTAAAGCAATCTGCTCACTGAAAGATTCTCACTGGCTAGCTCTTGCGGAGGAAATCTTAGCTGTCGAATGAAACCTCGCACGTCCCTCGGATGTTTTAACATATTTTTTTCTCAACTCTTACCAAAATCGTATAATCAAGTTTGAGTTATGAAAGGCTGTGATGTATACATAGAAGCAACTCAAGCCAAATGTTTGGTTGAGTCCTACCACGGAGAATGAAATGCTGATGCAACCCTTATTTGAGAACCCTGCAATCAGAAAAATTGATTGGAACTGGTTTTCCGCCGACTCCTCATGAAATAGTCTTGGAAAAAGTTGGATAGACTGGGGGGTCATAAGGATTGACAATATTTAGAACCTCTTGGAGGGATAGTGGTATTCGACAAGGGCACTGGAAAAAATGTTGGGCTCGGTTTGATATATGGAAAAAAGGTTAGTGGAACTAATTGACGCTATCCCCATCCAATTGAAGGGTATCCTGGGCCCAGAAGGAATTGATCCACCTGGGACCTAATATATTTTCACTTCGATAGGCTCCATCCCTATATTTTGGAAATTGGTGGGTATTGATTCCACATGGAATAAGGAATTCCAATGTTGGGAAGGTGTTAATACCTTAAAGCCTTGTCAACTGATTCAACTATAAAATCCAATACATCCTTCCCTCCCCTACATGTCGGTGTGACCCAGATCAGGGTATGAGAATCCTGTGATGAAGAACAAAATTGGACTTGTAAAGTTCTTGCACATAACGTTGTATTAACAGAAGTCGAATTTGGACCCGAGGATGTGTGGATGAAAGGGGGCAGTGGTGGATAAGATTTTCCTCTCATATCCTATACGGTGCACCAGGGTTACACATCACAGACACCCACACCGTCCCGGTCACCCATTGATCCAACAGTCTCCATGTGGAGTCAGATATTGGATTGCGGGAGAAAAAAAATTGAGAATGCAATCTCCAAATATTGGAACCAGTTATCGCAGGCACCTAGCCTCAGGTTAGCAGTAAATCTTTGACTGCTTTCCCTGTTGGCCACACCGTCGACGGTAAATCTGGCACAGAGGGGCATAAAGGTTGATCTAGCTTGCAAAAGGTGTAACTGTGCATTTTAGTTAACCCCACACCTTTGGTTTGATTGCCCGACTTCAAGCCGTATATGAAAATGATGGAGCATATTCTGGGATGATATCATCAGGAAAATATTGACATGTGACCGTGAGTGAGTCCTATCGGGGGGAGTCTCAAACAACTTGGAGCTCGATAAAGGCTGAGGTTATATCGCCTAGACAGCAAGAGCGGTGGGCTATAAGGTGATTTGGAAAGAAAGAAACGAGTGTTCGAAGGAAGGGAAATGATAAACAAGGAGATAAGAACAATGTTTAAATCCTCTCTACGACGCCCAATTCAGGCTGACTAGAGAAGGAAAGGAAAACGGGGTTCGATGCTGTGGTTCGGTAAAACTTGGGGCCTAGGGGGCAAGTTGGCAAAATTGGAGGGAGGCAAACTGGTTCTAACAGACTGTTTTTGGACCAACTAGTTCTAGATTGCGAACCTGGTTGCTCGGTTCGGTTTTCCGTGAGAGGAAGGCAGTAGGACCAGGATGATGAAGAGAGCGACGGAGGTGGCTTTCGGTCCCTTGAGTCCGATCTGCCGTTTTAGGCAGTACGGGATTAGCTGTAGGGTATGGTAGTAGGAGTTGATGAGATAGGTATGATCTAACTTAGGTGGTCGGGGTAGTTTGTTGGTTTGTGAGGGTTTTTGGTTTGTGGCGTTTTTTTTTTTGTTCAGTGTTCCTTTTGGGTTATTGGGCTTTTCAGGTTTGAGACAATTGTTGTTAGAGGTTGAGATTTCAGGACAGCGTCCTAAGACAGGTACATTTCTGTTCCTAGATATTTCTTTGCTCCAAGGTAAAATGTGATGTTCGAGCTATGCTCGTAAGCTAAACTGGCTGATGCTGCCAGGATAACTCCGGGTTGAATTGTGAAAAAAAAACAAACAAAAAAAAACGGTTCTTTTCGGATCTTTTAAAAAAGAGTGTTGGCTTTAGACACTACTGTTACTTGATGGGGGTTGGGGAAGATGAAAAGGGAGGCACAGTTACTGGCAGATGCTCGGTCCTTGTGTTAGCCGGGGCCCCACCGGCGGCCCCAACCCTGCACCCTAAGATGCTAGGGCAAAGGGGCAAACATGCCACTACCCCTCTCCACCGAGAGAGGTAACCTCCCTTCATCCAAGAGAGGTAGAAAGCTATGCTTGCAGGGGTCCCCTGTATAGCCGTAGGAGTCTTGGTAGGTAGTGAAAAGAAAGATAGGTTCCATGACATGGCAGAACGCCAGTTAAAAGATATGTGAGGTGAGAGAAAAATATATGGCTGTCCCCCAATGAGGAGAAGGCAGCTTTTTGGAAAAAAAAAAAGAAGGAGAACAGGTGGCACCAGACGCTAACCTTTTCCCAAAGAAAAAAAAAAGGGAAAAAAAGATGCTAACCTTCAGCCACCCCTTTCATCCTTCAAAATGACTGCAGGCCGTTTGGGCCGACATGCCCGTGTGCCCTCCACCTGTGCTTCCTCTGCGCGCTTTCAGTTTGCCGATGGCTGGCTGACTCTGCAGACCTGCCAAGGCCCTGTGTTCCTTGGGAAGTCTGTCTGCCAGGACTGCTGCAAGAACCAACATGCACGAGGGGACGTCGGGAAAGTCTGTCAGCGTCTTGAGAAGCGGTGCCCATCTTTCTCAGGGTTCCCGCCGATTTACAGGAGCAGGGGAAGGGGGTAGGGGGCGGGGCGGGGCGGGGAATGTATAAGTGGAAACACTTCAGAAAAGAAAGGTTGGCTTTTGCTGTCGAATGCGGCAGGAAATCGTCGTCGAGCTGGGGTCGAATCGAAGCAACTGGAACTGGACCTGGGTTCTGCAAAGCCCGAGCCACTGCTCTTTCCATACGTGAACGTGAATTCATTATCATCGAGAGAGGCAGGGGCAATGATCCTGTGTATTTTGATAACTAACCGCGCCGGGAGCGTGCTGTTTGAGAGGTAGGTCTCACGTTTCGTTTGGTCTCGTCTCGTCTCGTCTCGTCATCTGAGAAAAGCGGGCGATATGTGGGTTGCGCTCTTCTCGTCGTCGCTTTTGTGCTAGACGTGTAGCTGTCTACCCTTCACCCTCTCTCTTCATCTCCCTGTCCGCCTCTCAGTCTGTCTATCTGTCTGTCTGTCTGTCTGTCTGTCTGTCTGTCTGTTTCTCTCTCTTTCCCTCTCTCTGCCTCTCTGTCTTTGTCTTTATGTAGGTTTTTTTTCCTCTCTTCACCTTGATTAGATTGTCTTTGTCTTTATGTAGGTTTTTTTTCCTCTCTTCACCTTGATTAGATTGTCTTTGTCTTTGACACGAGGTCTGACTGAGGTCGTGTGGTGATCGACAAGGAGTTTCAGCATGTAGACACTCTTCGGAGAACCTTCTTCTTTATAAGTTGTCGACAATCTTTATGCAGTTGCCTCCCTGCTTCGACTTGCCCCCCCC